AGGCATGTTTGGTCAAGGCCGCAGCGGTTGTTCAGGACAAGATTTCGTTTATGGCAAGGGGGGGCAACGACGCCACCCTCACCGCCTCTTTCAAACGTATTGTAGCGCCTACAAGTTCGCACGGTTTCTGAGTTCACTTACGGCAGAACCATGGTGGCCGCATGCGGGGCAGGATCAGGTCGTTCGCTCGGGCCCAGTCTGGGGTTGCTCAAGGTGCGGGGTGGGTATGTCAGTGCGGCAACCCAGCCCCGCTAAGGATCCAGCAGCGAGCCACAGAAAACGCATCCAAGTGGGAGCCATATCGTGCGACGGGCAACGGCAAAAATGGCTAAGGACGAGAGACGTGGCAACGACAAGGCAATGGTGATGCGGATTGGTTTCGAACGATGGGGTTCAGTTTGCCCAGTTGTTCAAGGCAATCATACCCTCAACAACGCCCACGACATCCGGTGCTCAGAAGTCGAAAGGTGCGCCCCTCATGGCTTCGAGCAGTTGGGAAAAGGTACACAACCAGATTTTTTTCATCGGGCGAAGAAGTTGACAATAACATTGTTAAACGAGATTGGCTCGTGTTTGAGATCACGGAGCTTGAGAGAATTGCCAGGAAAAAACAATCATGCGGATCTGCGTGCCCAAATCGAGACGCGCATTGCCGACCCCAGAGGTGAGCACAAAAACTACGTTCCCCAACCACGGCTCATCGCAGGGCGGGGCAAGACCTCGCACGCGCACAGACGGGCCTGGCAAGGGTGGAGGAGGGTGTCGGTGAGAAGCGCAAGCAGTTGGAGGGCCTGCAAGAATCAATCATGATCCGTGACGCTGAGCTCGCTGCGAAAAGGCTGATGTGGCGCAGCTGCAGGAAGAGTTTGTGTAGACGGCGAAGCAGACTACATCCGAGCAGCAGAACACTGCCCCAAATCTACCAAAGTTGTCCGAGTTCGCCGCTGAAGATGACCCCGCAGATGATCATGTGTTCCAGGGCCCTGAGAGGAAGCTCCGGCCAGAGAGCGCTCCCACACAGATAGATGACGGTGCTGACCAAGCTGGCGGCCATCGTAAATCTTCAGGCTCTGCTGCTGGCGATGGAGGCGGCGACCCAGCAGGTGCGGGAGCAAAGCGAGGGCACGGGGTGCTCAGCGAGGGCGAGCAGCAGCAGCAGCAGCAGTAGCATAAGCTTTTCACACTGGCTGGAGACCACGGGGCGCTCAAGCAGGAGCTCGCCGTGTACTGGGCAAAACGGGCAAGGCATTCCTAGCGCGGATGAGAGTTTGGCAGATTCGATATGGAGTTTACCGTCGACTGCTGCTACGAGAGAGGCCTCATAATTTTTGCCACGCTGGCAGGTGCGATTCTTTCCAGATTGGCGGGTCGGCGCTGGGGACTCCCGATTCAGCCAAGGGCTGCGGCAAAAGGCGTGGACGGCAGGCCGCGGGCGCGCGAGCGGTCGACGCCCAGCCCCGCGCTGGCCCTCGATCCTGCGTCGCCGACGGGCGGATTGCAGCCGCGAGTTTCGGGGGGCCTGCGGCCCCAGAGGCTCGGGAGGTGGAGCTGCCATGCGAGCATTTCCAGCTCGACGGTGCGATTATTACCAAATCGGCGGGCGCGCGCGGGCGGTCGACGCCCTTCGCCGCGCCGGCCCTCCAGCCCGCGCCGCCGACGAGCGGGGCGCAGCCATGCGTTTCGGAGATCCTGCGGCCCTGCATGCTTTGGGGGCGGAGTTGCCGATTCAGCACTTCCAGTTCAATGATGCGGATCACAGATGGATGGGTCAGTTCCTAGCTCAGCCTTGGGCCGCGGTAACAGACGCGGGGCGGGTCGCGGGCCGCGGCCGCGCGGGCCTTCGACGCCCTGCCCCGCGCTGGCCCTCCAGCGCCGCCGACGGGCGGGACAGGCTTCCGCTGCAATCGCCATCAAGCTGCCCCCAGCGCCCCTGAGATGCAGGGGCCAGGGGCACGGGTGATCGAGACCGATGCGAATGGAGGCGCGAAGACTGTCGAGCGGCACCTGGAGCAGCCGACCGCGATGGTTGTTACGACGCAAGGGCTCGGCTACATTCAGATCAGCCCGGCCTCGAGGCGCTCGACTCTAGGCGCGCAGCTCGCGGGCGGCAGACGAAGACAGAGGCGTCGGCGACTGCGGCCCGTTAAAACGCGCCAGCCAGCCTCGAGGCGCCTGCGCGATCAGGACGAGGAGTTCGACTGCCCGAAGATGGAGCCGAGCAGGCCCGGCCTCTCCGGCGCCAGAAATTAGAGATCGATCTACCGGGCTGGCCTGCCATCACGCCCGGCAACGTTCACCTGCGCCGGGCCGTCGGCCCTGGAGGGGCAAACGCGCCCGTTCTCGTCGCACAAGGCGAAAACATGCAGATAATCAAAGGCACGTCTTTGGCTGCGGGAAGTTGGCACGCGGGCCCTGAGACGCCCAGATATTTCGAGATCCCCGTTCCGGTCGGGTTGCGCGCCCCGACGCCAACGGCGCTGGCGTGCCGAGGGGGCGCGGG